CTGGCACAGGATAGAGCAGGGTTTAGGGCTGTTGTACATAGGGTTGCTATGAGTCGCAAACGACTCGACGGCACATAACAACAACAACAACAACATTTTAAAGCTAGCAAATTTGTTTCATTTATGTCTTCTAATTATATGTAAAGAAATGAAAACCAAGTCAACCTCAGACTTTCCTAATATGGAAAGCCTCAAATTAACCAGGGTTTTTACACTGAATTAGATAATAAGACATGTCTTGCCATGTTTCAAGACTTGGGTAACATTTCAAACTATGGAAAAATTATTACTTTTGCTATTATTAATATCTCTATATCTTTTTTGGGGTTTGTTGTTAAACTTACTCCTGCTCTGGCAAAGGATAAGAAATTAGACTGAGATTCTTTATCATGAACCAAGTCAAGCTTCCCTTCTTATGAAAAGGAGATGATGATAAAAACAAGTAGCTGATGATGAGTGGCGCTTAATAAACAAAACTGCTTTTATATAGTTGTAAATTTGCTTAGATTCTTCCCTTCTGTCTAAAAGAATCTTAGTTAGGCTACTTATGTAATTTTTAACAAGTTATATTCAATTCACTTTAATCTCCACTACCCCTTTAATAGACTTTATCAGGCCTCAGGAGGGCAGTTACAGTAGCACAGTGGGTAAGAACACGTGCTGTCAACACAAAGATATGTGGTTCAAATCCATCTCCTCCCTTATGATTAGAGCCTCTGAAAACCCATGGAGCTTCAGCTTTGAATTGGTTCCAAATTAACATCACATAGGAAAAACAACAGATCTAAATGAGATAATAAACCTTCTTCAACTTTCCCTGAGATGATACACTGATCACAGATGTCTGTGGATTAATACTTCTCTTCCCTCTCCTATTGGAGCTAATTATCATTCAGCGTAACATCAGTTCTACTGAAACTCCAGTTACCACAACTGATAAGGGATTTGAGAGGGAAAGGAGAAAAGAAGAAACAATTAATTTTAAAGTAAGGAGAAAGTGCGTATTACATTTGGATTCATATGTAAGCTAAAAGTCCTGAGCTTATGATAGACAGAGGAGTCTCTTGAAATAGAATTAACTAGAATCTGCTCATGAAAACACAGGGCAGGCCTTGGAAGATTGCTGGCCCCCATCTAACTTATAATTACAGACTAATTTAGATTCTCCACAATAAAAATATTGAGTTTGTATATATTCTCTATTTGTATTATTGTGAAGAGCAGGGTATGGCATTAAAAAAGTAGAAAAAAAAAGGAAAGAAAATCATATTGAATTCTTATTCTCCCATGTCTTTTCTTTTGGTCAGCTTCCTTTTATCTTTTCCTCCTCCTATATTAGAAAAGCTTCTTTTTCCTTATTATTGAAGTAACTTTCATATTCCACTATGTATTTAGGCTTCCTCTGTTAGAAAATCTTAAACCATTCTAAAATATAAGGTTGTATATACATCTACTAGCAGAGATCTACAATTAATAAAATTAAGTTAATAGCTGTGCTTGTTGAGAAGCTTTATTATGAGAATCTTGCTGAGCTCATTATTTATAATGGTTAATTACTATATAGAGGCAGCCATAATAATTATATTGACATTAACTGTGTTATTGCCGACCCACTAGGCCATCAGGCTTCCTTTAAAATATTTTATACAGCCCTAAATGAAAAATAACAATATAATACCTTCTTATTTAAATATATGCTTTTCCTTTCTCCTTAATTTTATGCTTCACATCAAGTTGTCTTTCAGTATACTATCACACAGTCCGCCATGTGCCATACTCACATGTTCTGACATTAAGGGTGTAGTATCCGTGGAACCCGTGCTACATGGTATTTCACTTTTGATGAACAAAAATATGAAGGCACTGTAAAGTATGATAATTTTAGTTATAGTTATCACATTATTGAGTAATAATTGATCTGTCTAGATTTTTGAAGAGAAAACAAAGCTTAAATAATGAAATCCTATGTATGATTACTTCTAATGTTTGCCCATTAACGTTGGCCATTTCTTCCCCATTGCCATCCTTTTAGATGTCTCTTTTTTTTTTTTAATGAGTCAGAACTAAAATCACTAGCTTTCCACTTTCCTCCACACTGAGATTTCTCTCATGATTTCATTGATTTAGTCAATGGCATAATCTTTCCTTTAATGCTCCTTAATCTGAAATCATATAGCAACACAGAGAGAGAGAGAAATAGAGCAAATAAAAGCTACAACAAAATAGTATTTCTCTTCTCTTTTACAGAACAAATGCCCAAAAGTTTAATAATATCTTCAGCTGCCAAAACTGTAGAAGAAAGGTATTTTGATATACTGCTGAAGTGCATGCAAAATAGTACAGTTCCAATAAAGAGGAATCTGGAGCCATCTACCAAAGATCCATGTGTTTCGAATCCACCAGACGCTCTGCTGGAGAAGGAGGTGCAATATCCTCCTGTACCAGTCAGATCTGATTTGATGGTACACTCACACAAAATAATTAAAAACAAAACAAAACAAAACAAAAACAAAACACAAAAAACCAAAAACAAAGATCCATGTGAGCCTAATCAGGTGAAGTGAGTCTACAATGGAATACTCCACCGCTGTAAAAAAAAGTATGAGAATGAGTTTTATGTTCTAATATGGAAAGATCACAATTATATATTTAGAAAGTGAAGTTCCCACCTTCACCCCCAATCCTTTTTACATCTTTCTTGTTGTTTTTAGGTGCTGTCAAGTCAAGGCCAACTCAGAGTGAGTGACCCTATGAACAAGACCTGAACCCTGTCTTACCCTCCTGATTTCTTTTACTCTTGGTGAGCTCTTTGTTACAAACAAATGTCTCAAGGTCATTCATTTATAGTCAAACTATTTAGATAAATTAAAATGTGTTTATATATTAAATGAACTTATGGAAATGCACAACTTTGGCGCAATTTTTATTTATCCCCATATTTAATGTTTTTTTTGTATAAAAATTACTGTTACATTCATCTCTTATTTTTTTTAAGTGTGAGTGATTGACTAACATGACTCTTCTAGCGACATTGTCTTTAACTCCCATCAAATGACTGGGTGGAATATGCCAAAGTGAAGTCCTTGTGGTCCATGAAGGAGATCAGATAGCTTGCTAGTTAATCTTTAAGAAAAGGACATGATGCTGTTGTTGGAGCAGGACCATACAAATAAGGTGTAGAAACACTAACATAGGGAATGGTCAGCTTTGCCATCAAGTATGAAGAATCAGGAGTGAAGTGAATCCTTTGGACTCTTTACCAACCTCTGCTCTAAACATCTTTGATCTAGAAGACAGAGAACTATAATGCCAGACACACTGTGAGAAATAGAAGCAGCAGAACCTGGTGATGAGTGCAGCTTGATAATGAGAAAATGGAATGATTTCCAAGTTCTTATTGACAGAATGAGTGCCTTTACACCCATGGAGCCAAAGCCGAAAGCCTTTAGACTGGGTTTGCTGACAGCATGGAGTGCTTCAGGACAATTAAATTGGTAGAGACAAAAGAACTCTGAAATACTTGTGTGAACAGGACAGAGACCAGGTAATGAGGTCAAGGGCAAGAGAGAGGCCTCCTTTGGGGCATGACTGAGAAGAGGCTGTATGGACAAAACTGCATTCAGAGTCATTCCTGATCCTGAATTGCAACCTTTATTAGTAAATCACAAACTGTGAATATTACCTGTGAATTCTGTGTGGCAATTGCAACACGTTATTGAAACTACCAGAGAAATAGAGATGTAATAGAATGGTAATCTGTGTAACAATTGATAAAAAGATAATAGGGTAGAATCATGTCTGGCTTCTGCCGTATAGAAATCAGCCTTGGATGATGCTAGTTGTTATTCTTCTCTCTCATGAAGTTAGAGGAGGCAAGGAATGCCACCACCATGTCATTTTCACAGTTATAAGTTCAAGTTAAACGTTTTATGCCCAGTGATTTTATAATTCAATAGAAGATAAGAGACTTCTCTTATCTTTCCTTCAAGTTCCTCAAAGTAGCAGAAAAATTGAAGGAATATAATCTAAGTAGATGCTTTTGTTCAGAAACGACTCATAACTGACCCTTTTACTGAGTTTCAGAGCCTGTAAATCATGTGGAAGGAGATTCCACAGCTTTCTTTTATAGAGCAGTTGGTGGATTTGAACCACCTACCTGTGGGTTGGCAGTATAACTTCTTACTACTAGGTTATCAAAGTTCCCTGACCTATTCAGATGTTGTTGTTGTTGTTGTTATGTGCCATTGAGTCACCTGCAACTCATAATGACCCTATGTACAATAGCCCTAAACCCTGCTCTATCTTGTGCCAACCTCACTGTCTCTGACACAGCCACCCTGATTACCCTAGTCCCTGAATCAATCCACCTCACAGAGGGTCTTCCTCTCCTGCACTGTCCCTCCACCCTCCCAAGAATGACGTCCTTCTCCAAGGACTATTCCCTCCTGCTACACATCCAAAGTATGTCAGATGAAGCTTTCAGAATCCTTGCCTCAAGGGAACAGTCAAGTTTAACCCTCTCTAGGATGAACCTGTTCGTTTTCTTAGCAGTCCATGGTATATTCAATACTCTTCTCCAGTACCACAGCTCAAAGGCCTCAATTCTCCTTCTATCCTCCCTAGTCATTGTCCAGCTCTCTGATGCATAGCAAGTGATTGCAAAGACCATGGCCTGTGTCACGTGCACCTTAGTCTCCAGAGTGATACCACTGCTCTTCAGTACTTTGGAGAGGTACCTAACAGCAGACTTTCCTATCGCAATGTATCTTTTCATTTCCTGGCTGCTGGTGCCAAGAGTGTTGACCACTGAGCCAAGCAAACTAAAGCATGAACAATCTCAATCTCCTGACCATCTATCCTGATGCTGCCAGTTGGCCCAGTGATGAGAAGTTTTGTTTTCTTGATATTGAGCCTCAATCCACATTAAAGGCTGCAGTCAGATGTGTGTGTGTGTGTGTGTGTGTGTGTGTGTGTGTGTATCCCTGAACATGTGTAATCTGGAAAACTAATGCTAGATGTTACAATTGCATGAGCTTTGTTTCTTCGAAAGCATATAATAAAAACCCTTTTCTTGGCATATATTTGTGTGGTTTTTTTCTAACAAAAAATACAGGATGATATGCCAGAGTGTCTTAAAATATTTTTAAACAAGAAAATGACAGGCATGACTTGATTTAATAACAGATATAAGACAGAGATAAGAAAGCAGTACTGGCAGGAGCAAAGAATGGAATCAGGGAAGAAATTAGATTTGAGGTTATAATTTTTCAGAGGTGAGTAGGTAGTAAAGGATTGATGAAATGAAGAGAAACATTTAGAACAAATTTTAACAAATTTATACATGGGTTAGGGTATAAAAGGAAAGACATCAAAGATGAGTGAGGTTTTTAAATTGATTTTTGTTAAGAGCAGAAACTCTAAAAGGAGAACCAATTTTCAGGGAAAGAGAAAGTAAGAAAAGTTATTATGTTTAGGAAATACTGAAGACTAAGAAAAGGAACCAAGTCTAGTATTTGTGGAGAGTCCAAACGTAGTTCTCTTTTAGATGTAATTTCAATATAAAATTGAGTGGAAAGCATCCTGGATGCATCCACCTTGCAAAGTCTAGCCTGGTTGTGGCTAGGTTGTTAGGTAGAAGGAACGTAGCTCTGAAGAAAGGCAATGGCTTGGGACAAAGATCTGAGTTTCATCACAGCAGCATAAAATAACAGCTGAAGCTCTGAGAGAAAAAAAAATCTCTCTAGGGAAAGATGAGAAATGAATAAAGAGCAGAATCTCAGGGGTAATTCAAAGCAATTTTTTTCTTTAAATAAAATGTAAATATTCCTTTTTATGACTTCTGAATTTTCATTAAAGCAAATGTTGAAGACCATGTCCTCTCCACTCTAAAGTTTATATATTCTTTCTCAAATCTAGGTCTATAACTGTTGGAACAAAAGCTACAGAAGCTAGACAAGGAGAAGTAACAATTGCCTATGGAATATTAATTCATAAAAATAATGATTATTATAAAGAAACTGGCTAACACCCAGGGCATTACTTGGCATTTCACTGACAACTACAAGGTCAGCAATTCAAATCTATCTGTTGTACCAAGGGAAAAAAATGGACAGGAGACTCCTTTCAAAGCAGGAGACTCCCCATCTTTACTGCTCTGAAACCCCAGTGGAGGTTCCCTGTGAGTCAGAACTCAACTTAAAGGCATTAGGTAAGACGTAGGCAAAGCACTTAAGTACTACTTTATTTATTCTTCAATATATTGATATTTTTATTGTTGTTGTGTATTGTGGAGTCAGAACTGACCCAAAGCTGACCCTCCATTGGGTTTTCAAAGAGAGTAAATCACATGGGAGAGTATCCATCTTTAAACCATGCAGCAGCTGGTGGATTAAAAACTGCATACTTTTGTGCTAGACGCTCAATTCCTTGCTACCAAGCCACCAGAGCTCCCTTTTTAAGAAGCTTAGTAGAATTGTTGTCTATTATTAACACTTAAAAGAGAAAGAAACCTAGGCTTAGAGATATAATTTGTCCAATGTCATATTAAGTCCAAGTAGTAGAACATAAAATATTGAGTTATAATTTTAGAGGACACACTGGGTAAGGACCTATGCTGCCATGCCAAAGCACACAGTTCAAATCCACCAACTATTCTGGGAGAGAAAGATGGATAATGCCTTTTCATGGGATTTACAGCCTCTGCAAACTCATTAAAGGGTCGGCTTTGTGTTGGTTTCTACTGAATGGAAATAAGGGTGTTTTTTTTTGGTTGTGTGTGACTGCTTCTAAAGAAAGAAAAGAGATGCTTGAAGGACTGGGAAATTGTTTGTAAATTACCCTGAAGTCAAAATTAAACCATGCAA